AAAAAAAAAAAAAAAAGTTTCACCGGAGCATCCCAGTCTGAGGCAGGTTCAGAAATAAACATTGAACTAAACAAGCATGTCAGATAATTATTTAATCGACTTGGATTTAACCACAACTTCAGATTTGACATGCTAAAAATAGCATCCGTGCTAATGTGTATGTTCACTCCAAAATATTGGATTTTTTCAAAAAATCAGAATTGAGCATTGAGCCTTGCAGTGTGAACGTAGCCTTTGAGTGAGTACATCTCAGCCTATTAGCCAGTGAGGGAGCATTTTGTATTTTGAAAATTTTTTAAAGTGAGTTTAGCAACTTAGCTGATGAAATTTATGTGGCAATAAGATGTTAACTAAAAAATTGTAACTACAACTACTGATATTGGAGCTAAACCAGAATTATTGTTATTTTTTGTAAGGTTTTAACTGTGAAAAAAAAAAGAAAAAAATTGTGTATGTCTTCTGGACGGGTTCTCTAATGAAACGTTTCTGGAGAAGAGACGAAACGTTTCATTAGAGAAGAACCCGTCCAGAAGACCTACACAATTTTTTTCTTTTTGATTTTTTACCTGGATTACTGAGATGCATCAGGACACTTTAACTGTGAAGTTATTCTTCCAGTGAAAAGATGTGTAAATACACGTCTTAATGCATTTTCAGTCTGATATGAAACTGATCACTATGATAACGGGGTAGAGCGTGGTCACACAAACTTATGTCAAGTGAAGGCGAGACCGTCTAATTTCACAGCAGTTTCAAGCAGCCTACACAGACTGGGAAGGATGTGGCCCTCATGAGCCAGTAGGGCTACGTGTTCATGAGGACCCAGCCCATGAGCTGAGACACAGCCAGTGTCCTTTTTTGATTCAATTTGACCTGAGGATAAGTTAAGCTATGGAAATGCCCAGCTCTTTCACTTGAGTTTTGAACATTTAAAAAGAAAAAAAAAGTCATTTTGGGGGTTTCTAACCCATCTCCAACCCACCTTGTCATGGATGTCTGCAATCCGTCAGCACCAGAGCTGTAGTCTTATACATGCTTTTCTGCAAGAGCATATCTTAGGCAAATGTATGAAAACATTGCTGATCATTAGTCTCCTTATCTTTATTTAACAAGTGTACTTCAGTAGATTAAACCATTAGGTATGAGGGCTGCTGCTAAGATAACAGACAACTAATAATTTGCACAACCAAGAATGGAAATTTGCAAGCCATGCACACAAAAACAGGCCGTAATAAAATAAAATAAAATAAAAAAGCATGGCCCCTAAAAATGAGGCCTTATGGCCTGCTGGCCATTATGTCACAAGCATTTAGTTTGCAGTCAGATTTCTATGGAAATGCTCTGCACTGCACTGCAACTTAGTGATTATAGGAACTTAACTCAAGACCTATCTGCCAGCATGCTGTCCACCTCTATCTCCATTACCCTTCTCTCCACTGTCAACGTCACTGTCAAAGTCAATTTATTTATATAGCACATAAAAACAACAAAAATTTGACCAAAGTGCTTCACAATTCAGCCAAATAAATAAAACATCAAAGCAAAGCAAGACAGAAATGTAAACAATAAAATCAATTTAAAACAGAGAAAATCATTAAAAACATTATCTTTAAAAAAAAAATCTCAAACTCTACCAGAATGAAAGGCCAGGGACTAAAAAAATGAGTTTTAAGCCCAGATTGCTCCATTGTGTGGAAGACAAAGGAAGGTTACAAGTAGAAATCATTATAGCCAAAAAACTCAATCTCAATCTTTGTCTTCTGTTTTTGTAAATGTGGATGTAAAATGAAGCTCTTTGATTACATTAACTTTTTGCTTTGCTTCTGATATCAGCAACTTGAGTCCTGGTTTTAAAAACTATGTCAAAATGTCACACATACACAATCTTTATGCAGGGACATTATATA